AAAAAATTACTGGAACTAATAGAAAGATTCAGCAGAGTAGCAGGATACAAGATAAACCCAGAAAAATCAGTTGGATTCCTATACACCAACAAAGAGAACTTAGAAAAAGAAATCAGGAAAACAATACCATTTATAATAACCCCTAAAAAGATAAAATACTTAGGAATAAATCCAACCAGCAATGTAAACTCCTACACAAAGAAAACTACAAAATACTACTGCAAGAGACCTAAGTAAATGGAAAAACATACATGCTTATGGATAGGAAGACTCAACATTGTGAAAATGTCAATCCTACCCAAAGCAATCTACAGGATATAATGCAGTCCCAATCCAAATACCAACAGCATTCTTTAACCAGATGGAAAAACTAATTATTAGCTTTCTATGGAAAGGAAAGAGTCCTCAAATAAGCAAAGCATTATTGAAGGAAAAAGAACAAAGTAGGAGGCCTCACACTACCTGATCTCAGAACCTACTATATAGCCATGGTAGTCAAAACAGCCTGGTACTTGTACAAAGACAGACACATAGACCAATGGAACAGAATCCAGAACCCAGATGGAAATCCATCCGCCTATGTTCAGCTGATCTTTGACAAAGGACCAAAGTTCATTAAATGCAGGAAAAGACAGTCTTTTTAACAGTGATGCTGGCAAAACTGGATGTCGATCTGTAAAAAAATGAAAGAGAACCCATATCTCAAGCCATACACAAAAAGTAACTCAAAATGAATCAAAGACCTAAATGTAAAACCTAAAATGGTAAAGATCATGGAAGAAGAATAGGGACAACGTGAGGGGCTCTAATACATGGCATAAATAGAGTACAGACCGTAAGTTACAATGCACAAACACCAGAAAACAAACTAGATAACTGGGAGCTCCTAAAAATTAAACACTTATGCTCATCAAAAGACTTCACCAAAAGAGTAAAAAGAGAACCTACAGACTGGTAATCTGTTTTCAGAAAATGTAACCAAATCTTAATGAAGTTTAAGTGAAACAAGGAGGTAACATACAAGGTGTTGTCCAAAGCCAAACATGGTACAACCAAGGTTAATTAGAATATTTGGGGGATGAGTAGATATCCTCAATCAAAACG